TTTTAAGAGGTTTTCGCTATAGGGCACGTGCGCTCGCCAGACAGACAGACAGAGACAGAGAGACAGAAAGTGAGAGAAATCACCCCCCAGAGGGGATGGTCACGCCACAATCCCTTCTCCTCCATTCTCCTCTCAGGATCTTGGGCATGCACGCACATGCGCCCGGTGTGAGTTTTAAGCCACCGGGTCCGGGACGCGAACCGCGGTCAACTACGTGGGAGTCCAGCGACATAGCCATTACTCTAACTGCTGGTTCCTTACCCCTGTGGGTCTTATTTGCTAGTACACTACACCTGGAACAGAGGAGGCATTCAACAAGCACATTCTAGGATGTACATCCTAGGATACGCTTAGATACATAAATGAACCCTTTCTCCTAAAACTCCACATCAGGGCACATTCGCATTAATTCCAGGGGTTCATAGCCTCCTTGGTACTCATGAATGCTGGGTAAGAACCCTAGACGTGAAGGGCAATCAGGTGGCAAGGCGGTTAAAGCAGCTGGATGCACAACTGCCTACGTGGTCTGAGTCCTGAACTCTGTGTGCATGCCCTAAATCCCAAGAGGAGCACAGAAAAGAAGAGATTGCAGCATAGTTATCTCCCCTGGAGGGTGGTCAGTAGCTTGCTTGCTTGCTTTTTCTTTTCTTTTTTTTAAGAATGATTTAATTTCATTAATTACTATTATTTTTTAATTTGACCAGAGACAAAGGGAAAGTGAGAAAGTAAGCTGCCAGGTCTGGGACTTGAACCATAGTCAGCCATGTGGGAGTCCAGCACCTTAACCATCATGCCTCCTGCCAGCCCTGCTTGCTTGCTTGCTTTCTTATTTATTTATTTATTTATTTATTTATTTATTTTGCCATGGGGTGCATGTGTTTGCCAGGAAGAGACAAAGAAAGAGAGAGGGAAAGTGAGAAATCCCCCCCACCCCCAGGGCAGATGGCCACACCACAATCCCTTCTCCTCCTGGGATTTTGGGCACTCATGCACACATGTGTGACGTGATTTTCAAGCCACCAGGTCCAGGTCTTGAACCACGGTCGGCCATGTGGGAGTCCAACACCTTAATCACCAAGCCACCTGCCGGCCTCAGGGTGATTTCTCACCACTCTTGTCTTTCTGTCTCTTACTGTCTTTGAAGACATAACCACTGTCTTCAAAGGATCGTGGCATTGTCTTCAAAGGTAACAAAGGTGCTGGAAAGACCGAGCTCCTCTGCCACAGGGGACCCTGGGCAGTGGGGCTTGAAGTGTGGGGGGTGGTTTTCTGGAGTCTTGCCCCCCCTCTGGTACCTGTTGATGATGGTGGGCAGGAAGCACAGGAGGAACCGCTCAGAGATGGGGATGAAGGGCAGCAGCCCCAGGTAATAGAGCAGCAGCACCCAGAATCCGCGGCTTATCGTGAATGACCGTGGCATATCGGGGTTCTGGGGGCAAAGGGAGAGTGAGAAGGGATCAGCCTGCTCTTGGAGAAGCTGTTGAGGAGGAGTGGGCTGCAGGGGGCAGACTGGGACAATTCGGAGGCTCTACTGCCTACAGGTTAGTCTCATCTGGCCCAGCACTGGAGGGCCTCATCCTCCTCTCTGCCACCACCCTGCCTTGGCTCACACTACCGACTCCCCGATCTGCTCAGATCCCATCCTGCTCCAGAGGCCAGTGCCTCGAGACCCTCCCACAGCCTGCCAGTCTAGGCCCCTCAGGTGGGTGCACTCACAGCCGCCTTGCATTTCTTCATGACGGAGTTCTTCTCTGAGGCCCAGACGGTGATCTCGTTCCGGGCAAAGTGCCTCACCAGGTCTGCTACCTGGGAGGAAGAGGCAGCGGTGAGGGGAGAGCCCTGCCCAGCCCTGGACCTGGCCCAGCCTGCCGGCAGCTGACCTTGTGAATGAGCTCTTCATTTTCCTCTTTGATCTCCACACTCACGGGTGTCTTGGGGAACCTCTGGAACACATCCTCCAGGCTCACCATGCGGCGGTCCTTCCCGTGAGCGAAGTGGCCTGGGGTGGGGGCGTGGGCAGAAGATCAGAGAAGCAAGGCGCGGTCAACTACGTGGGAGTCCAGCGACATAGCCATTACTCTAACTGCTGGTTCCTTACCCCTGTGGGTCTTATTTGCTAGTACACTACACCTGGAACAGAGGAGGCATTCAACAAGCACATTCTAGGATGTACATCCTAGGATACGCTTAGATACATAAATGAACCCTTTCTCCTAAAACTCCACATCAGGGCACATTCGCATTAATTCCAGGGGTTCATAGCCTCCTTGGTACTCATGAATGCTGGGTAAGAACCCTAGACGTGAAGGGCAATCAGGTGGCAAGGCGGTTAAAGCAGCTGGATGCACAACTGCCTACGTGGTCTGAGTCCTGAACTCTGTGTGCATGCCCTAAATCCCAAGAGGAGCACAGAAAAGAAGAGATTGCAGCATAGTTATCTCCCCTGGAGGGTGGTCAGTAGCTTGCTTGCTTGCTTTTTCTTTTCTTTTTTTTAAGAATGATTTAATTTCATTAATTACTATTATTTTTTAATTTGACCAGAGACAAAGGGAAAGTGAGAAAGTAAGCTGCCAGGTCTGGGACTTGAACCATAGTCAGCCATGTGGGAGTCCAGCACCTTAACCATCATGCCTCCTGCCAGCCCTGCTTGCTTGCTTGCTTTCTTATTTATTTATTTATTTATTTATTTATTTATTTATTTTGCCATGGGGTGCATGTGTTTGCCAGGAAGAGACAAAGAAAGAGAGAGGGAAAGTGAGAAATCCCCCCCACCCCCAGGGCAGATGGCCACACCACAATCCCTTCTCCTCCTGGGATTTTGGGCACTCATGCACACATGTGTGACGTGATTTTCAAGCCACCAGGTCCAGGTCTTGAACCACGGTCGGCCATGTGGGAGTCCAACACCTTAATCACCAAGCCACCTGCCGGCCTCAGGGTGATTTCTCACCACTCTTGTCTTTCTGTCTCTTACTGTCTTTGAAGACATAACCACTGTCTTCAAAGGATCGTGGCATTGTCTTCAAAGGTAACAAAGGTGCTGGAAAGACCGAGCTCCTCTGCCACAGGGGACCCTGGGCAGTGGGGCTTGAAGTGTGGGGGGTGGTTTTCTGGAGTCTTGCCCCCCCTCTGGTACCTGTTGATGATGGTGGGCAGGAAGCACAGGAGGAACCGCTCAGAGATGGGGATGAAGGGCAGCAGCCCCAGGTAATAGAGCAGCAGCACCCAGAATCCGCGGCTTATCGTGAATGACCGTGGCATATCGGGGTTCTGGGGGCAAAGGGAGAGTGAGAAGGGATCAGCCTGCTCTTGGAGAAGCTGTTGAGGAGGAGTGGGCTGCAGGGGGCAGACTGGGACAATTCGGAGGCTCTACTGCCTACAGGTTAGTCTCATCTGGCCCAGCACTGGAGGGCCTCATCCTCCTCTCTGCCACCACCCTGCCTTGGCTCACACTACCGACTCCCCGATCTGCTCAGATCCCATCCTGCTCCAGAGGCCAGTGCCTCGAGACCCTCCCACAGCCTGCCAGTCTAGGCCCCTCAGGTGGGTGCACTCACAGCCGCCTTGCATTTCTTCATGACGGAGTTCTTCTCTGAGGCCCAGACGGTGATCTCGTTCCGGGCAAAGTGCCTCACCAGGTCTGCTACCTGGGAGGAAGAGGCAGCGGTGAGGGGAGAGCCCTGCCCAGACCTGGACCTCCTTGTGAATGAGCTCTTCATTTTCCTCTTTGATCTCCACACTCACGGGTGTCTTGGGGAACCTCTGGAACACATCCTCCAGGCTCACCATGCGGCGGTCCTTCCCGTGAGCGAAGTGGCCTGGGGTGGGGGCGTGGGCAGAGGCTCAGAGAAGCAAGGGCAGGGTGGGGTGGGGTGGGGTGGGAAGGGGCCCCAGGGCTCACAGGGCTCTCACCTGGTGAGAAGTACACCACCAGCTCCTCCTTGTAGAGGGGCAGGTCCTGGAGAGAGTGGGAATTACGTCACCAGGAGGAACAGTGACTTTGGGGTGGGGGAGAGGCTTGGGGCAAGGCCTACCTGAAAGTCCAGGCTGCTCACATCCCTGTTCAGGCCAGACTGGCGGCACAAGTTCTCATCATGGGACACCACCACCACGCCGTCCCGCGTCAGCTGGCAGTCGAGCTCCAGGAGGTCGGATCGCTGGGCCACGGAGCTGTGGGAGCGAAGGTCAGTGGGGGTAGGGGACAAGCATGGGCCAGACTGCATGGTGCCAGGGAGGCCTGGGGGGCCCTGGGGCCACCTGCACTCCAGGGCACTCCATTCCCCCAGATCAGAAAGCACCCCTCAGAGCCATGCAGTGCAGAGCCAGCACAACCTTCCCGGGCGCACTCACTTCTCCAAGGCTTCCATGGTGTTCTCCAGCCGCTCTCCAGATCCTGCATGGGGCAGCTGGGGTGGGTCCCTGAGGCCTGGGGTCTCAGGTCCTGGCCCAACCTTAGCACCCACACCCTCTCGCTGACCTCCCTCCCACCAGATGCCTCATCTCCCCTGGGAGCCCTGGTCCGTCCAGCCTTATCTTCCCATGCCCTGCCCTGCCCTGCCACCTCACATTCCTCCCCGGTGCTTGCCCAGCTTCCGGCCTCCCGCCCTCACTGCGGTCCGCCATGGCACCTGTCCTGCTCCTCACCCCTCCCAGCTTACCTCCTCGGTGGGCCCCCAGGCGGAGACGGAAGGCTGGAGCCCGGGGCGTGTGCAGCAGGCGAGGCCGGCGGAGGAAGAAGATGGAGAGTATGGCGTAGCCGCCCAGGGCGGGGAGGACGTAGGACAGCATGGTGCTCCCACTCTGTGCGGCTGCGGTTGCGCCTCTGCCGCCACCCGCTCAGCCAGTGATGGACTGCGCTGCCTCGCAGCCTGCCTAGCCGGTGGAGGCTGGCTTGCCACTGGCCACCACCACGCCCCTGGGACCTGCTGAGCCTGCTCCTGGCAGGTGGCCAGGCTGCAGGGCTCAGTGGGGCTGGGACAGATGCAGAAGGAGAGGCAGGCAGCCTGGCCCTCACATCCTCAGATCCTTCAGGGACCCCGGCACCCCTGTGTCCCTGGCCATGTCGGGAGAATCAAGTGCCATCCCAGCCAGGTCTGTCATGACCTCCCTGACCTCAGCCCCCAACTCCCCTGGTGCTTAGATCTGGGGTATACAACACACCCGCCCCTTGCCATTTCCAGAGAACCCGGGGGTGTGGAAGATGCCCCTGAGTCACCCGGAATCGCCCTTAGCTAGTTAGATAGGAAGCCACTGGAAGGGGAAGGCAGTGACTAAGGAGG